AATTCCTGGGAATTCCTACCGATTCCCACCAATTCCGGAATTGCGTGGACTACTACTAATTACGGAATTACACGGAATTCCTACCGATTCCGGAATTCCTACCAATTCCGGAATTATACGGAATTCCTACCAATTCCGGAATTGGACGGAACTCGATCAATTTTCGAGTGGGTATCGGATATTATGTGTCGATCGAGTTCCCGGAATTGAACGGAATCGATTCCGGAGCGGAACTGGTTCCTGAAATGTTCAACATTGCGGAATAGGATGACTGCTCTAAATTATACAATCTATCCGAAATTGTGAGATCTTCTATTACTGAAGAGTGAAAATCGACTTTAGTAGAATGTTGGATTTCTCTGTTAATGATTTATAAAATACTTACTGTAAGGATCAAGAGTAATGTTATTTGGGCCAGATGTCTCAATGTAAAAGTCTCCTGTCATATTTGGAGAAGATGTTGTCACTACTAATATGTATTTTGTGTCAGTGTGAAGATAAACGACGAACTTGAAATCTGGAGAACTACATGCTCGATAATTTTGTGAGAGTAGATTCTCGAAAGGATTTATTGGATTAAAATCATCTTTGTAAATATCACCAAATGTATTTATACTGCTATTACTACTCAGAGCATAGTATCCGGTTTCCATCACTTTCATTCGTATAGCTTGATAGTAATAATTTGATTTTCGACAATCTCGAGAATATGTTTGACTATTCATAGTCAACTGTAATGGATAGTTCGATTGTACAGCTGATGAGTATGGTGTTTGGATGACTGATGGAAAACCTACGTGATAAAAATAACAACAATAACCAAGATTGGTGATAGATCTTAATTGACTGTGAGAAAGAAAAGCGAGCATTATGAATCATCTCTCATACACTCTGAATATCAAAAGGCATGTTAAAGGTGACCTGAGATTTCTGAAGAGATGACTTTTCATAATATCGCTCTCAATGGAATAATTAAGCTGTAAATGGAGAGTAAAAATAGAATTTATTAACATTTTTTTGTACTCAAAGCCCCGATAATATATGTCACCGATGTATGTATGTATTTGCAGTATTTTTTTCCATCTCATAATCACGAGCAGGTATTCCTGTCGATTTGTATATTATTCACATCAGATTAGTGATCGATTGGAACGGATCCGTATTCAAGGAGATTGTCCTGATCTTATTCATAATATTCTGTTATTTGATGAGTCTAATGTAGCTTTTTGTGTAAAGCTTTCTTCTTATAGTGCAAATGTCGTCTTACAAAACAAATATTTGTTTGTGGATATGCCAAACTCAACTAAATTCTCATGTTAATACTGACAGATTCTCTTGCAATAGTTGTGATACAAACACTTACTAATATTCTTTAAAATAACGATTTCTGGACCAGATACAAAGATCAAGAATGCTCCTGTCTCATTAGAACTAGTCGTTGTCACAACCAATATATATGTAATACTGTACTGAAGATGAATTGTGATTTGAAACTGATCTTGTTCGCAGTTGTCATCATCATATGATAGTTTATTCTCATCTGGATTGGATGGATTGAAAGATTCATTGTGAATAGAGCCGTATGTGTCCATATTGCTTCCGCTTAAGAAAGTGTAAAAACCATTTGTGGGGACATTTACTTGTATCGCTTCATAGTAAGAATTTCGCCATGAACATCGAGGGAAATACGTTGAACTATTCGTTGTCAATTCTGATACATAAGTTGTTTGAACAACTGATGAAGTATTCACTAACAAAAAAGACTATCGATTCAATTTTGTATTATACGAAAATAAGTAAAAACAATTTAAAATATTACTTTCACTTCCAGATACATTTACCAAAAGCGAATGAAATTAATTTGGATGTTGATGTAAATATGAAGTCATGATGCTTCCACTCTCAAGACAGTATAGGATACTCTGTGATATCTTTCATATTTCGAGTTGCAAAGAGGACACATTAGTTTTGTTACATCCTGTACAGAATATTGATAATATGAAGATCATGTTCTCAGAAAACTGCGGATACGAATCTTATTCTTCATCGAACAGAAATATCTGTATATCATTTTATGGATTGAGCTTATCTATATTTTCTAGCGGTGATGGATATGTGCAATTGATCATCCATTAAAATATTATTAGATACTCACAAATACGATTGAAATCGATATAGCTTGGGCCGAATACTTGAATTGAAGCGTTTCCTGTTATATTCGGAGAAGATGCTGTCATAACGAAAACGTATATTATGTTGGCATGAAGTGCGACTCCAAGTTTAAATTGACTTTGATTAGGAGAGTCTCCATTATGAATGAGCACATTAGTGAACACATCGAATGAATTGAAGTTGTTTCTGTAGATATAAGCATACGTGGTTTTTATCTCGCTCTTGATTAGAAAAGTATAATATCCAGTCATAGTGACGTTCATTTGTATCGCTTCATAATACGAATCTAACACTGAACAATCGTAGAAAAAAGTCGCACTATTCGATGTCAGTGATAATGAATACACTGTTTCTATATATAATGAATTATCTATTGAATGAAAAAAAATCAATGAGTATTTGCATTTTGAATATAGAAAAGAAATGATTACGGATATTTTTAGTTTCTTTTTCACGCTTTTTACTAATGAGAGTTGAATAGTTTGTTTTAGAGCAATATTTTCAATAGAGAAATGAAATAAAATATCTATTTAGTGTCCTTACAATAAGTATCGATGTCAGCCCTTAAATTCCGAATGTTCTTTCCTAGAGACTTTGTAATAATCACAATAAAGAAATGTTATAAAACCTCGTATACAAAAACGAGTACCATTCTGGTCTAAGAAAGTCTAACAAGTCACAGACTTATACATTTATGACTTTTTCATTATCATCTTAATCTTCAAACATTTCTTCTTTGATAAACATAATGCAGAACATTAGTTTTTGTGTCGATATCACTAAGCATAAGAATAAACTACCTGATACAACTATTTCATAAAATCCAGTCAATCTACGAGTATGGTCTGACAGTGACATTCAGTCTTAACAAATTAAAATATCCTCATATTCGATCCATTGTTAAAATATTACGAGAGCGATTCTTTATTATTTTTTATTCTAACAAAGCGTATCTTCAATAATCTGGTGAGGATGAAACTTTTTCCTTCTTCTCGTTGTTGGCATTTTTCTGTGAAGACACTGACCTACGTTCAAATCTCACTTCTTTGTGATAATCCTGATTTTATTCCCGTTCGTCAACCAAAATCATGATCACAAATATAACATAATCATTTTCTCATCCCGAGAGTTAAAGTGACATTCTGAATCTCTATGATTGCGCCACAGGTTGTGCTTAACACTCAAGCATAGGGTAGTTCGGCTTGTCCAAACGTAACGCTGTTACGTTTCTGACACATTATTCTTCAATTACCTCGGAAAGTGTAGTAGCTAGAACGTTCGTTCAAACGCCATTCGACGCAGCTGATCGAACTCTACTTATTCTATAAAAAAAATGTTTTTTTGATGAACCCTCGGATATCTATAAGGGTTCCATTGTCGCGTAACACTGTTACATAAAAAGATCCTTATTCTTCAGTACCACCAAGAAAACTCTAATTTCTTGCGATATATTTTGTTCAAAAGAAATGCTCTTTGAACTATGTTTGTAGAGCATTGAACGAGCTTTCTAAAACCAAAACAAAATTTCTTATAGCTATTTTTATTTGTGTGAAAAATGCAAAAAACAAGCGTAACGCTGTTACACACTTTTTTGTCAGTCATTTTTGAGGTAGTTAACATCGTCCGAATGATTTGAATTTTTTTACGGTTACTCATTACTGTGTAGATAAACGTCCACCAAAGAATCAGATTAATTCATCCACAAGGGACCTCAGAAACTGGACAGGAAGTTGGGAGGGTATTGAAGGTTAAAAATTGTTACCAGCTATTAAAATCAAAACTAAATAGCCTATTTTGCAGATAATCCAATTCTGCATTGACTGGTACGTCTCTCGAAGTTTTTTGAAAAACTTTCTTGGGTAGAAAACTCGAAATACGATTTTTCAAAAGTTTAAAACCCAGGTTTTGATAAGAAAATCTGAATTTTTTACAAAATAAATCTCAGATTCGTAATCAGCGTTAAAAACTGCGTTTAATAGCTTGTTCAAATCTGTTCAACTCGAAAAAAAAATTTTAAAAACTTGATCAGCGAAGTGTCGCGTTACGTGGACAAGCCGAATTTCTCTCTGACAGATGTTTTATATCTACGAATTCGAAAGCATATTGAAAAACTATGCAGAACTACTTTTTGTTGGTTTTAAAGCAATTTTTGAAACTATTTTTTGTGTTCTGAAATATAAAATTCGACGCGAGAAATTTTTTTCATGTCGATATTTACTTCGAAGTGTTTTTAGTTCGATAAAGATTTGATGAATTTCGATGAAAACTTTACTTCTTATAAGTGTCTTACGTTTCATAAAACCATTGTGTTCATTATTTTTTACAGTTAGCAGCAGTAAGTGAGCATAGGTAATAGCGAATCAAAGCAAACTTGAGAACAGAATTCAATGAAAATCTACATCATACAACTCACATGACGATAATATTATCGACTGACTTTTGTAGAGGTTTATGTATAAACAAGCTTTTAGTCCTGTGACAATAATACAGTAAGGTAAAACTCAAAACTCGAATTTAACTGTTCAATAATTCAGTTCAAAATCCCTTAAGAGCTTCATCTTCATCTTCTATGATAGTTTTTCTTTTTAATTCTCTCAAATAATATTGACTGAAATGATATTAGAGACTTTGTTCGATTATTCTACACTTACCACACAATTCTTCCAAATATTCAAATTTTTGAATTCGATGATTTTCTGCATCAGTAACAAACATGTTTCCAGAACGATCGAAACTAAAACCGAATGGACCATACAATTGATTGGATTGTGATCCTTCTCCATAACATCCAACTAAACATCGAAAACCATTCACGCCTGAACCAACAATCCGATGATTGCCAAAATCCACAATGAATAAATATTTCTTAACATCTAAGACAATTCCATTTGGACAACTAAGTCGAACTGTTGGAAATGGTGATGTGCGTCCAGCTACTGTAATACCGTCTGATTCTCCCGACTGAAACAACTGAACCCGATCATTGTAACAATCTGTCACATATAAATCCAAGTTTACATCGACAAAGATTCCACCAGGACCATCAAGTTCATCTGAGTCTGATCCGTCAATACCTGTCCCAGCAGCAACTCGATTTGAAGCCATCTCAGAATCATTTAATGATCTTTTCACTACTTGATGATGATCAACCATTGAACAGTAAAGAGTATCATAGATATCGACAAACAAACCTTCACATCGTGAACTGACATTCATCACCGTGGCAAAGGCACCTGTTTCTGCACGCCATCTCTGTACTTGACCATTCTTACTACCATCATCAATGTAAATATCACCATTTGATGTCACGAAGAGAGAACCGGGTACTATAAAATTACCAGAAATGATTTTTGTTGGATTGACACTTTCTTCATGCCATATTACAATTGTGTTATGTTCTCCATTTACGGCATAGATTGTGTTGTTTGTGTTTACAAAAATGGTGTAAGGATTCAAACCAACTATCGACTGATCAGCAAAAGTGATTCCATTGGAATTCCAAATGGCTGTTGGACAAAACCTTGGCCGATTAAATGAAAGTGCTAAAAAACGAGAAAAACAAAGCTTTTTCAAAGAAATTTGTATAAATGAAATTACTCTCTTCAGTATTGAACATTTTTTTTGCCTTTCTAAAGTGACTTTTTTAAGAATAAATTTGAAGATGTACAGTTGCAGATGTTTCTTTAAAATATTTACTCAAAATTTCTAAAGTTTTTTCTGATAGAAATGTAAAGTCATATTAGAGAGGAAATCAGAGAAAAATGATAAACATCTCTGTTTTTTCAGTTATTTCTATTATTGAGACAACGAATCGATTTATCTTACGAGGGAAGGTCCCCAAGTGTGAATCGCCGTTTTGAA